CATAACAGAAACGTGAAATATTTCGTTTCAATTTTATTTTTCTTGCGTGATCCTTATAAATTTTCTACGATGGAGATAACGTCTAAAAGAATGAATCAGTGATTCTGAAAGATAACAATGCGAATAATGATAACAAAAATAATAATAGCAATAAAAGCAATCATGGGAATGAATAAACAAATAAACTGATTAATTAATGAATAGATAGATAAATGAATGAATAAATAAGAAAAGTTGGAAGCGGCAAACAAAACCTGAATTAAGATTCGAAGTTGCAGGCGAATGTCCTTCTATTTGCGTGCGATAGAGCTGGATGATTGACGTTTGCTCTTGCCGTCGTATCGCCTTCATTTCGAGAACTTTCTGCAGCTCCGATGAATCTGACTCGGGTAACAATCGCGAATATGCAGACACAAAATCTTCTGCTGAGTTCGTCTCTGACATTACCATCTGCAAGCAACCGATAAGTTGACACAGCACAAAAAATTCAACACTTCAAACTGCGTAAAAATACTCACTACGTCAAGAAATGATGGCATATTCAATAAACCACATTATGGTTAGCATAACACTTAATCTCAAAATCATCAACTTCGTGCGAAAAGCCGATGTTTCAATCGTTCATCCATACAATTACAATCGTAGTTTCGAAAGGATACCTTCAGAATCATTTCTGCTTTTGTCATTGTTTTAACCACTCCATTCGTATAAACAGTCGGTGGTTTAGTGCTGATTGACGATTCCACGGATGGCATCGACAAGAGAAACGTCTTCAGTGAATGCGTATCGAGTAAAAGTTGCTCGGCACCGGTCAAACTCACTGGACGACATCTGCAAAGCATTGCGTAAAATAGTTAGTAAACACGTCGAATATATCGAATAACAAACTTAACAATTATGAATGCTTTCGATGTGAATTAGAAATTCGTCAGTGGTAGTCGATATGGAAATTCGTCAAGTTGGAATCATTAAATATCAAAAGTATCATGAGTTTCTTCTTCAAAGCGAATGTTTTAAAATCTGTGCAATTACTGCATCGAATAATTTACATGAAATCAGACCTGAATAATGCACCAAGAAATTTGTTGACAAGTTGTGTGGCCAATTTGAGGCAAAAA